CAAAAGTCAGAATTTTTGGTCAACATCTTATTTTGAGGTCACAATCATCATTTGATCAGGTCTTGATCATGATTCCACAAGGATGGCTCAAAAATCATCAAGATGCAAAAAGTTACTATTTTTGGACAGTAGAAAAGTCAACTGTATCTTGACTAGGGCATAACTTCTTCATGGTTTGTCAGAAAAATTCCATCTAATTCTCATTTTGAAGAGGATGTAATTGCCTACAATCCACCTTCACACTCCAAGTTCAAGAAGTGCTCTCACAAAAAGTTATCAATTTTTACATTATAGGTCAAATTCAAAAGTCAACAAAAGTACCTTTTGAGTCAAAGGCCATAACTTGAGATTGGTAAATCCAAATGACATGGTACAAAAGGCATTGGTTAGAGGACTTCAAGAGCTTTCCAAAATGTCCAAGAACATGGTCATATAATCTAAATTGAGCAAGTTGTGCATTGGAGAAGTTTGGAAATTTTCATGAATCTGTAAAAGTCAACTTTGCTCAAAACACCTCATTTTTGCTAATGGGCCTCAAATCTCTTCTTGAAACTTTGCCCATGACCTATGCACGACCCATCAAGCCTAATTGAATTTATTTTCTTATTTTTATTGATTAATTGGATTTTTAATTAATATTAATTCATTTAATTAATTTAAATTGTAGGAAAATGCAAGATTTGATTTTTCAATCAATTTGTGAAGCAAATATGGTCAAGATATGCTGGAAAATTCGTGCACAAGTCAAAGATACAAAAATCTCCAAATTTGGCAACATTTTCCAATCATGAAAAATCAAAAAGATTTGATTTCTAATCAAGGATTCAAGCATCAATGCAATGGATTTTTGTTCAAGCTTTTGACCTAATTCAATTGCCCTATATATATATATATATATATGCAAGCAAACCCTAACCTAATGGAGGAAGTGTCAGGAACGTTTTGCAATTGAATTCACGCACTAAAGCTCAAAGAATCGTCCTTTACAGAACCACTGTTTGCCTTTTCTATTCCAAATCGTAACTCTTAAATCATGCATATTTAACGTGTTTTATTGATTGATTTGTGTTGCTAGGGACCATACGAAGCTAATGGTATAACTGAATTGGATTATAATGCCTTGAATCAAAAGATGCCATGAACGGTTTTCTAGGGTTCTTGAGCTTTGAATTAGGGCTTTTCAATCCAGGAAAAATTAGGACTTGTGAGACATATGGTTGAGATCGTGAGAATAAGACGAACCTAACACACCCATCGCGAAATATTTATATATACTGAGCTTCTATTCGCTATTTTTCGTTGCAATGGTTAGTGGGGGTTAAAAACCCCCGCTATCTGTTTATATTTTTGCAGGAACAATGAAGAAGATGATGATGTGTTAGTACCTGGTTGGCCGGTTTAAAAAAGGGCACGCGTTGTTTTGTTGTACAACATATTTGTTTGTTTACTAATATAATAATCACCACTTATCATAATAACAAATAAAACAACTTGGCTGAGTGGTGAGTGCGTTGATCTGGAAGTCTTGGGACCTGGGTTCGAACCCCAGGTCCCCCCAAAACATTTATTTCCTTTTTCTGCCTATGTTCACATGCAGCTTGCAAGGGGGATGTCCACCATACGCTTCCAACTCCCAGGCTCCAGATGGCTTCAAATTCAAATCCAATGGCCAGGATGGAATGACTACCATAGTCCTTAGTCAACCAGCGCATGGATGATCATCAAAGTCAAACAGACTTGAGTATTGTTGGGCTTGAGAATTTCCAAACACACCTCCTAATTGGGCCAACACCCCCTGGGTTCATTCTTTTTTTCTTCCTTTATATTTATTTATTTAATTGTTTTTATTATTAACTATTATTATTATTACTTAATTAACCAAATTAATTTTTTTATAATAAATTCAGAAAACATAAAAAATAATAATATTTTTATTTGTTAAATTTAATTAGTTATTTTTGTAAATAAATACTAACATAATTAATTTAGTTTCTAATTAGGTTAATTTTAATATTTTCATAATAATTTAAAATCAACATAGAATTAGGGTTTCTTGACAATTTTGACCAGTTTTTATTTTTCCTTAACACATAAAAAAACTCAAAAAAATATTTCCTTTTATTAATTAATTAGTTTTAGGATTAATTTAATTAAGTACAAAATAGCATAAAAAATTTCTTTCTTTCTCAAAAAAGGGTCAAAACCCTAAAAACTCTCCGATCCAATTTTTCTCGCGCATGTTATTTTTAATTCATATTTTAATCCATTATTATGTAATTGCTCCGATGATGTAATAGCTTTAATTAGGATCCTTTTTATCGCTTTTATTTATTTTTCGCAATTTACTTTTTCAAGAGTTTGTTTTTGGCGATGTAAATACCCAACGCCTTGTAATAGTTTAGCTTTATTTTCCGCAACTATTAACTGCTATATGTATGATAAATAGGCTATGCATGACAAGACTTCTCTTAAATTAAAATCAATCGTAGCTCACCATAACATGTGATAAGATAACTTAACTGAAACCTGACACACTCGCACATGTCACTCCTAGGATACGCCTCACTTGGTTGCCTCGACGTGGTCATTGAATATAGGGTGTTTTAGAGGTCGCCCTCCTGTCTAAAGATCAAAGTTGCCTCAGAACGGTTGCCTCGATAAAAAATGATCTAGGACATTAAGGTTACCGCTAAGACGTCCTACTATTGCTTTGGTGACCACATGTCCCTAAAATCAAATTGACCCGAAAACTCCAACGACGGTGCTGCCTACTCCTCAATAGTGGAATAGTACTGTCTAAAGGACATTTACACAGCTTAATTTCTTTTGAGTAGGTAGAGGTTCTTAGATACTTGCTCTTTCAAAACAAAACAACTTTTCGCACCTACACTTTTCTGACAAAAGTTTTCAAACAAACACTTCCTACACTCTCGAGGATAGATACAAGAGTTAAAGCGAAGTTTTCAAACAGACTTTTTCAAAACCCACAAACACAAGAAAAGAAAAACATTTTTGAAAACATAGTGAGCAAGTACCTAAGAGCCCGTGGATAACCACAGAAGAAAGGGTGCTAACACCTTCCGTTTCTATAATCTACCTCCCGAACCGAGAAACATCTCGAAAAGGAATTTTGATGTGCTTTTGTCCTTTCCTTATTGGAGAAAATAAAAGACGGTGACGACTCTTGCTTACCGCGACATTTTGCTAAACGCAAACGCGAACCAGCATTCCAAAACAGTCAATTCTATTTCCACCAATCACACACACCACTTTTCGACTTACCTGCATCTCTTTTATCCATTCTTTGTTCGTGTGATTCAAACGTCCCTTGAAGCTCTTCCTTCGACAAAGTTGACATGTTCTTCGACTCTTCTATGACAACTACCATGTGGTCAAACTTAGGAGCCAAAGATCTTAAGATCTTTAAAACAATTTCTCTTGTTGTTAACGTCTCTCCACAAGTCTTGATTTGATTCACTAGTTTTCTAACCCTAGTGAAGAAATTATATATGCTTTCTATATCTTCTATCTAAAGCAATTCATACATTATTTTGTGAGTTTGTAACCTCACCTCTTTCACCTTTTCTGAACCTTCAAAAAATTTCTCAAGAATATCTCAAACTTCTTTTGCAGATTTTATATCACTAACCTTTTCGAAATTTTCTGGACTAACACATTGGTGAATCATAAAGAGAGATTTATAATTTTCTTCTCCAATTCTTTGTGTGTTGTCTTTTCTTCGCCTGTTGCCTTTTCTGCAAGTGGTTCCAATCCTTCTTTCACAAGATCTCAAAGACCTTGATAACATAATATAACTTTCATATGTTTGCACTAATTATCATAGTTATCGTCGTTCGGAATTGGAAGACTTGTTGGAAAATTCTCATTCACATAATTCAACGCCATTTTGATTTTCTTCTTCTTCCCTTGATTGCTCAATCGTAGCTCCTGATACTAGACGTTGGAAATCCACCAAAACCTATGATAAATTTCTATCAATCTTGATGAACAAGATTTCTATCACCACACAATGACAATGGAAAGAAAAGAAAATTAAAGACGAAAAGAGGTTAAGGTTTCTGCAGAGTAACTCTCTGTCCACAAACTGTGGAAATCTTTATTCACTTGCAACAGTAAATTTTGTGAATATTCAATGAGTTTATTACAAAAATAGGGATTTCTCTCACTATTTATAATAAGTATGCTTTCTAACATCGAATGCTGCTATTGAATGCGCTGTTGTTGCTGAGTGAATAAGCGGTCTTGTCGTATCCGCTGTGAGCCTATATGCTGTAAGAAAGCTAACTGAATGCGTATCTATCTGCTCAAAGATTAAAATAGTAAAAGTAAAGATCTTATAGAAATGCCAAAAACATCCTTTTTTATTCTCCGATCGACTCACCGAACACCAACCAAGTCGTAACCATATTACTTTATTTCTAAATGGCAGCATGAGTGTCGGTTAAAACGGTAAAACCGTCTATCAAATGGGAGGCTGACCTAACCTAGTGACAGTTTAACGTCTAAACCAAAAAACTCAAAATTATAAAAGGTCAAAGTAGCTATTTTAGATCTAAATTAAAATCATTTAGGAAACCTGCTTCGACACTACAACTCCACACACACTTTGACAGACTTAGTTAATTCAACACATCTTATATCAAACAACATCCTACTTTGCCACAAGAAATTGCACCTTCAACACATGGACAAGCAAGCACCGGTTAAGACCCGAAAAAACCAAAAGTATCCAAATTGTATCCCCAGCTGAAGCTCCGGAGAGAGCAAAAAGGCTTAACTGAGCTGCCTGGAGTTTTTCTTGTGTCGTGGTGTCACCGCCAGAATCCATATCTTGGGCGAGCACCACATTTGTGCTGTGTAGACCATTTATGATTGCAATTGAAGCATAAGCCCTTGTCGCGGCGTTCATCCAATTCTGGACCAAAGAGCTGGCGAAAACGCGGCTTCGCCTGCGGAGTGGAAAGCAAACCCGTTGTAGTTTATGCTGTAGGAGTAACTTCTGGAGCCTTAATAACAGGGCGCGCCGAGGACGATAGTTGCCATGGCATGGAAGAATGTGAACAAGAGGCGTGTGCAAGATCTTGAAATTTATCTTCCTGCAACCTAGCCAAACCCGCTGCCAGAGAAATAGAAGTGGGTTGTTGTGCAACTACTTCATGGAGAACGTTGCTCTTTAAACCGGAGATGAAACAACTTAGTAGATCTGCGTCGGAAAGGCCCTCCAATCGATTTGCCAACACTTCAAATTCTGTAAGGTAAGTAGTCACCGTTGTTGACTGAGTTAGTTTGAACAATTTGCCACGAGGATCGTCAAAGGCTGTCGGAGCAATACGCATTTCTAGCTTCTCTAAGAATTGAGGCCAAGACGCAATTTGACTATTGCGATACATCCACTGGTACCAAGCAAGCGCTGCGCCGTCGAGGTAAAAAGAGGCAATTGTGATGCACTCCTCTTCTAGTGTTCGATGGTATGTGAAGAATTGTGAGATCTTGAAAATCCAACCATGAGTGTCGGTTCCATTGAAGCAAGGAACGTCTAGCTTTAAGCTAGGACGATTGTGTGATTAGGCAGAAGAACGTGATGAAGCAGTGGAGACGAGTCCTCAATACGGCGTCGCATGTCGTCAAACTGGGTGGTGAGTGACGCGACTTGACGAGCCAGCTCAGCCACTTCTGAAGGAGACGGTAGGGTGCGGAGACATGCAGGGAGTGGAATCACAATGAAAGCACCAATAATAGCTCTCAATTTCGAGGACTGAGACAACCTCCTGCTGAAATGTATAAGAAAGGAAATGAACTTAAGATTTAACTTTATTGATGCCTTAACATGTACTAGTACAAGGCTATATAAAGGAAATACATATGGTAACTACTGTCAAAACATACAGAAGGCATAGGAATATGAATGATTGCTATAATGAAGACTTTATTTGTAAACAATGTGATCTTTCAGTTTAGATGGAAGCTTTCTAATGCGACTGGGCCGTGTTGATCCAACATTATTATTGGGCTGAGTATTATTAGGAACAGGGGTGTTCATATCAGAACTTCTTATATTGAATTACAAAGATTGAAACTTTATTGAAAGCTACACAATCACTTAATACAAAACATGACACATCTTTATATATTGTTAATCAGATGTTTCTTCATTTTTTCTCATGTTTGGTAGCCACAGCAAGGAGAGGGTATTTCCTATGACAGGTAATGCCCACAGTCTCAGACATGTCCAAATCCTTCCCGGCTACTCCATCAGGCAATTTCCAATCAAATTGGCAAACAAGGTTTGCTAGCACCAACTCATTCAAAGCAATAGCAAATGACATTCCAGGACAACCCCTCCTTCCAGCTCCAAATGGTATAAGTTCAAAATCCAATCCTTTAAAATCTATTGAACTATTCATAAACCTTTCTGGTTTAAACTCTAGAGGTTCTTCCCAACTTGAAGGGTCTCTTGCAATCGCCCAAGCATTCACTATTACCTGTGTGCCAACTGCAATGTCATAGCCATCTAATTTGATATCTTCCATACATCTCCGAGAGACTAATAACGGAACTGATAAATGGAGACGAAGTGTTTCTTTGATCACTGCCTTCAAGAAGTTCATGTTAACCAAATCTTCTTCAGCTACACGAGTTTTGTCACCAACCACAGTTCTCACCTCATCTTGCAATTTATGCATCACAGTTTGGTGTCTTAACAGTTCTGTCATCGCCCATTCTAGTACTGTGTAAGTAGTGTCACTACCATCAAAAAGCATGTCCTACAAATAAGAGCACAATTTAATCTTTCTAAAAGTATACATATGAAAATTAAATATAAATGAATGATATTGTTACTAACCAGTATCAAAGCTTTTATTGTAGTTCTATCAACTGGGAAGCCAATAGCATTAGTCTTTTGAACTGAAAGCAAAACATCCACAAAATCATTATCACCAACACCAACATCTTCATCAGATCTACGACTAATGTGATCCTCAATTACTTCTTCTATAAACTCATCCAAATACTTGGCTACTTTTTCTGTTTTTCTATAAACACCATTTACTTTTCCCAACCAATCAAGCCAAGGTATATAGTCTCCTATGCATATAGTTCCCAACAATTCCATAAACTCCGACAACACTTGCCGCAATTTCTTCCCTCTTCCTTCACGGCATCTCTTTCCTATAACCACCCTACAGATTAAGTCATTAGTAATCGTAAAACACAACTCAGATAAATTCAACGGAGACGATGTAGAAGAAGAATATTCCTTAATATATTCCATCATTCTTGAAGTTTCTTTCTCTCTAACCCAACGATAAGATTGAACTCTTTTATTACTCAGAACGTGTAACACACAGAGACTCCTTATTTGTCTCCAATATTCACCATATGCACAACTTACCACGTCCTTGGAACCGTAATAAAGGATATCAAAGATTTTACCATGCGGCCTATCACAGAAAACCAAATCGTGAGTTTTCATTATTTTTTTTGCTGCATCAGCAGAAGAAACCACAAGTACTGGAACATTTCCAAAATAAAGAAGCATCAAAGGGCCATATTTGTGAGATAAAGTTTGGAGTGTGCGGTGAGGGAATAAGCCAAGTTGAAGGAGATTACCAAGGAGTGGAAATCTTGGAGGTGATGGTGGTAAGTTCTTTGCGGTGGCAGAAGAATTGTTGGAATAATACAAATACTTGATTATGAAGAAAAGAGATAGTAAGAGTGGGAAGAAAGTGAAGAAAAACATAGAGAATGGCGAATAGAAGTTTGCATGTGAAAGAAAACTTTGGAGAAAGGTGAACATGGCTTAAGCTTTAAGTCACAACATTGAATGAAAGTGAGACTATATAAATTTTCTCTGAAATTTGATAATGATAGGGAGGAGAAGACAAGCGGTTATATTTAACTTCAACAAAATTCTAGAAACTAGATATAACCAATAATTTGGATTACACAGTAATGAAAACATTTATAGCCACAAGTGTATCTATCCTTCAAATGCCGGCAGTCTTGTTTGTGTACCCGATTATAGACAAAGAGAAGAAGATAAGAGTGATCATCACATTCTCGACTTGTCTACCTCATATGTTATATTAAAAAGAATAAAAGACAAAAAAAGACACGTCTTTAACTCTTTCAAATAAATCATTAGTTTATAATTTTTCCAATTAAACTAAACATTCGCACCGTTTTCAGAAAAAAATCTATTGCATCTTGTAAATAGTTCAACACTTATAAATAATCAAACAATTTTACAATTAAAATTAATCCAAATTATTTTGCAAATAATTAAATGAGGTGGATGTACATCTACATTTTTCTCGAATAATCAACTAGTTGGCGTTCGTCTCATCATTCGGTTATTTAACTCAAAAAACTTCTAAATCAACTTAACACATTAAACCATTTCTTTTTTGTCCAATGCGGCCGTTAGTTGGGAATTTCGATTATACAAGTTTTGAATAATTGACACTATGATCGAAGAAAGAGTCGTTCGAGAGAAAGTGTGAGAAGGCTTTTATGAAGTCTTCGATTGATGAAGAGCTAGTAAAGAGTTTTACTATGTTGAACCGTTATCGAAGGGTTCGAACTATTGAAATATAAGCTATTCGAAGCATTACAAAGAAAGACATTTCAACCGTCATGTTGTCTGAATTGTCGCTTCTAAAAGAAGAACATTTTAAATTCAAAAGCTTTGATCTTATCCAAAGAAACACGTGGAAGTCTAATAGTTCGAAAGACATACAATCTTCCAACGTGGCGTAATTTCATAGAAGGACCGTTAGGATCGAATCAGTATAAATAGAAGTCTTAGATGTCAGAAAAAAGAGGTGTTCGAAGAGAAACGAGAGAAACGAGTTTGTTGATAATGTATGTGTAAGAACACCATCAGTTTATTTAAAATTAATTTCTCAGTACAAAGTCTTTAATCATTTTCATTCTCTTTTCATTTCCAGTTAAATCTTTTATCATTTTCTCTTTTCGTTTTCAGTCTAGTCTTTTAACAATTTTATTAAACTTTTCTTATTAAGCATTGTCTTTACATTTTTACAAATATTCAGATTGTTCCTTTTAAAGTCATATTTAAGATTCATAGTCAAACTTTAAACATCTTGAGATAATTATAACCATAGAAAGATCTTGTTATTATTCATATAATATTTTCCTTCGAATCAGACTGTAAGAACACTAAGACTATGTCCTAGGATCAATCTAGTCGATCATGTAAGTTACCAAAACATAGAGTTTGGAAGACTAGCGGTTGTTTGTCAGAAATCACTGGTAAACAAATTGGCATGCCCAGTGGAACCGTGTCGAAGTGTTTTAGTCACATTGTTTATGTTCTTTTAATTTGGATCTTTATAGTAGTCTCTGTTACGAACCTATTCTTGCCCAGTATATAAACCTTAGGAGTGGTAAGATAACCAACAACAAACAATCAATACCCAAAAGAAAACAGACCAGAAAGATGGTTAATACTGTCAATGATGGAGGATAACAAAATCCTCCACAAGGATCAGGCACAAGCATTGCAAGTTCGACGAATGCGTCAAGTATGATCCCTGGTTCACAAGCCATGTCCACATCCACAGGATCCATGGCTACAAATAGTTCAATACCTGGGTCCACATGGGCCATACCCACAAACAATTCGACAACCATGCCTATCTCTGCAAATACGACAGAGATCCCTTCGAATACTCAAATTGGCCATGTGTTGACATATGTGGGAAATCAGACTCAACTTGCAACCCCTAGACCACCAGGATTTGAAAATTTTAGGACTTGGAGGGAGCAACCCCAATACGAGAGGCCAACTTCCCTTATGTTAGGATTACACAATAATAAATCCACACATACACAGCCTACCATGACAACCTTTTCGCCACTACAAAACTCTGGTTCTGGTATGAACCATGTGGTTCGAAATACACAGAACCAAGGATTGTCAAACCAATTACCTATACTCATAACTAACACTCAGGCAACATTTAGGCAACAAATAGACGCTAGTAACCATGACATGGTAGGAGTGCTTGCACGTGAAATGAATACCATTTTCTCTCCTTTGATCCAGAATATTAATAGGACAAACCAAGAAAATACCCAATCCTACCAGCAAATGTCAGCGCAGATGGCGCGCATAGTAGACTTTTTCGGAGCCCCACAAGCACGTGTTCGACATAGGAAAAATAAGATGGCCATTCAAGAGGAAGAACCCACTATCAATCAGGTTCGACCATCCAGACAAGAGGTTGGCGAAAGAGACATAGGGGCAAGGGTAGAACGACGAGAGATTCGAAATGAGATCCCTGAGGAGCAACCTAGAAGAATAGTAATGGTTAATAGGGATCAAAATGCAGAAGAAGTGATCCATAGAGTTAGGCAGGATAACATGCTGACTGAAAATAATTTAAGTACCATGATCGAAAGAATCATGGCCCAAAATGGCCTGAATACAGAGCTTCGACGGCCAAATTACACATCTCCATTAATAGATCTTATTTTGCAGGCTGAATTACCAAGGGGTTGTAAATTCCCCAAATTCACAAAATTCTCAGGAGATACTAACGAATCAATTGTCGAACATGTGGTCAGGTATCTGATAGAAGCAGGGGACTTGGCAAATAGTGAAAACTTAAGGATAAAATATTTTTCTAGTTCATTAATAAAAAATGCTTTTACGTGGTTCACTACATTGCCACCAAATTCTATATATACATGGCCTCATTTAGAAAAATTGTTCCATGAACAATTCTACATGAGGCAAACTAAGATAAGTCTGAAGGAATTAGCCAGCATTAAAAGAAAGTTTACTGAACCTATAGATGACTATTTGAATAGGTTCTGTTTGTTAAAATCTAGATGTTTCACAATAGTGCCTGAACATGAATTGGTCGATGGTGGATTAGATTACTCCATTCAAAAGAAACTAGATACTCAGTATCTAAGAGACATGGCCCAATTAGCAGACAGAGTTCGACAAGTCGAACGTTTGAAAGCAGAAAAGGCCAGGGCAAGTAAGAATTATAAGAAAGAGAGGGTAGCTTATGCCGAAGCCAAAGAAGAAGAAACAAAAGCCTTCAATGACATATATGATCTTGAGAAATTCGAAGTAGATTTGGCTGAACTAAAAGAAGCACCCTGTGATACGGTGGGAGAACTGACTTGAGTTTTGCGTTTGTTTTCGCAAATGTTCGGTTGAGCAAGAGTCGCCACCGACTTTTTATTTTATCCTAAGGAAAGGTTAAAAAGCACAGGAAAAACCTTTGAGATGTTTTCTTGGGTTCGGGGAGTAGATTATAGAAAGGGAAGGTATTAGCACCCTTTCTATCCATGGTTATCCATGGGCTCTTAGTTACTTGCTTAGATCAACTTGCCTTAATTTTCAATTGTTTGAAATGGTGCTTTGTGTGTGTGGGTTTGAAAATGCTTTGAAAAGAGGCCAATGTGGTGGCAACCTTTGTAATGATCCATGTTGGGATGTATACAAAGATGTATGTCTTTTAAAAAAGATTTCAATGTTTTTGAAAGTTGTTTTTTGAAAGTGTAGTGATGTGTGGTTTTGAAAAATAGGCAAGTGTTTGTGTTTTGCAAGTTGGCAAGTAACCAAGAGCTATCTACCCTAAATTTCTCAAAGATCTTTGCTATGTTTTAACCCTTTTAACAATTTTGTTCCACCATTGTATTTGGTGGACAATCTTGTGTTAGGATGTGAAAGGGACGGGCGTGGGTCATCGTTTAGACCATAATTGCAATGGTGCCAAGTATCTTTGGGCAATTTTTCCTTAAGGGACTTGATCATTTTTAGGTAACTTTCGAAAGCGTCATCGAGGGACTATGATCATTTGAATTGTTTTGTTTTTGCCAAAGATACCTAACATGCAATATGGCCCATTATTGAAGGCAACAAGTGGAATACCCTAGGGGTGCAAGTGTGATTAGTGTTGTCCATTTTCATGCTTGATTATCTTTGAAGTTAGGTCAAACTATTTTGGTTAATTGATTCGCATACAACCCTAATTCTAGCATGACATATTTAGAAATCTTGTAAATGCGAAAAATAAAGTTCCTAAGTTATTACAACACAATATATGGGATGGGGGTACAAATGTTCAAATGGGGGTATTTTGACAAGAATTAAAACCCTAGACTATTACATCAAATTGGAATTTTGCAAGGTATTTAATTACACAATATTTAATAAAATAAAATAAATATGCAAAATGCAAAAAGGTTTTCTTTTTTATGTGTATGTAAAAGGTATTTATCATGTACCAAATAAAATAAAATAAATTAATTTTTTGGGATTCTTATGCATTTAGGGCAAAAACCCTAATTTTATAAATAAAAAGTATTTATTATATAATATATGTAATATTTATTAATTATATACAAAAAATAAATGAAAAGAAAATATATGAAGAAAAAGTAATTTTTTAAGTTAAATATTAGTAAAAAATAAAATATGTTATTTTATTGTGTTTTTAACCTAAATGTATTAATAAATACCTAACTATTTATAATATTCACTAAATACTAAATATATATGTAAATAATAATATTTAATATTTTAAAAAAAAGTATTTTTATTATAAAATGTTTTATAAAATAAAAATCAGAAGTAAAATATGTGTGTATTATTTTTTGTATTGAAAAATAAAAGTATACTTATTTATTTATTTACAAAAAAAACCTAATAAAACCAAATAAATATAAAAAAAAATGCAAAAAATATGGGAAAAATGTTTTTAATGTCTTTTATGATTTAAACAAAAATATGGAAACAAAATCAAAAAGAAA